TATTATGTCTTCAGACGAAGTGCGCGTGATGGGTCGGGAGCTGAATTTAAGCGAAAGCCGCATAATGCGTCATCCATTTCCAGGCCCGGGTTTAGCAGTTCGAATTGTCGGCGAAGTAAACAAAGAAAGAGTCGAAATGCTGCAGGAAGCAGATGATATCTTTCTTCAGGAAATACATAAGGCTGGCCTCTATAATAAAATCTCACAGGTTAGCACATATATATATATATATTATATATTATATGATATATATATAATATATATATATATATATGCATGTGAATATGTATATGTATATATATATGTGGATGTGTATATGTATATGTATATGTGTATGTATATGTATATGTAGACGTATATGTATATATGTATATGTATATACGTATATGTATATGTATGTATAGTCTATAAATATGTGTACACACACGCATATATATATATATATACATATATATATACATATATATGTACATATCATTACATATATTGAGCGTAGATAAGACAATAAAGTGCGTGGATTCAAAATAAGTGCATTTCCAGTATAACACATAGATAGATAAAAATATACGCAAATGCATGCATATATACATACAAATATATACATTCATATATGTACATATATACATATATATATGTATATGCATGCCTTTATTTATTTATTTATTTATTTATTTATTTGTGTGTATATATATGCAGGCATTTGCAGTGCTGCTGCCAGAGTGTAGATCAGTCGGTGTGATGGGCGACGGAAGAAGTTATGAAAGTTGTTGCGTTTTGCGAGCTGTAGAGACAGAGGACTTTATGTCTGCAGATTGGTGTCACTTACCCTATTCTTTGCTTTCTTCAGCTAGCTCTAGAATTACAAATCATGTTAAAGGCATTAACCGAGTTGTCTATGATATCTCCTCAAAGCCCCCTGCTACTATTGAGTGGGAGTAGCTATTCTCTTTATTATCTTTATTATTATCTTTATTATTATTATTATTATTAATATTATTATTATCTTTATCTTTAATATTATTATTGTTGTTGCTGTTGTTGTCGGTGTAATAGTAATAATAATAAAAATTATTATTATTATTGTGGTGGTTGATATTATTCCTTATTGTTTATAATTATAATTATTATTATTATTAATTGTCATTAATTATTATTAATTATTATTTATTATTATTAATTATTATTATTCGGAGACAGTGAAGGGGGTCAGTGCGTCAATTATATACACCAACGACGTGCTGCTGCTGCTGCTGCTCCATCAAGAGAGTGCTGCTGCTAATAGCAGCAGGAAACTGCTGCTGCTGCTAGAAGCAGCAAGCAGCAGCAGCTGCTGCTGCAGCAGGGAGCAGTAAGAACCTGCTGCTGCAGCGGGAAGCAGTAAGAAGCTGCTGTTGCAGCAGGAAGCAGTAAGAACCTGCTGCTGCAGCAACAAGTTGCTGCTGCTGGTGCAGCAGCAGCAACTCGGCATGCAGATACATAAGCAGGAGCAGCAGCAAGAACAGCAGGAACAGCAGCAGCAAGAGCAGTAGGAGCAGGAATACCAGCAGCAGTGGCTGCTGCAGAAGGAGCAGCAGGATGCTGCAGGGGGATGCTGCTGCTGCTGCTGCAGCGGGGAGAGGAGGACCGCCCCGGTGCTGCTGTTGCTGCTGCTGCTGCAGTAGCTGCAGGAGTATGCCGATGTTTTCTTTGAAGGAGAGACAACGTTTAATGTCTCCCTTCTGTCTCTTTTTAACAGTAATAAACAGCAATAAGAAAGAGTCGTTCAAGTCGAAGAAGAATTTAGAGTGTTATCTCTTTACTTTTGTCTTTTTTCTATCTTTGTTTCTTTTATGTGTTCGTCTTTTTCTCTCTTTTTATTTATTTTCTTAAATCTGTCTTCCTATACTTTTCTTTTGATATATCTTTTTATTTGTCAACTCTCTATCTGTCTCTGTCTCTGTCTCTCTCTTTCTGCTCTTTGTTATTAATTCTTGCTCTTTAAAGCCTCTTATAAAATAAAATAGTAAAAAATAATTTAGAAACGAATTAATACAACCATGAAAAGAAGGAAGTAATGTAAGGAGATAACAGAAAAAGGTTTAATTAGATAAAGACGAAGAGACAAACGTACATAAAAACAGAGACAGAAATGTTAAGCATATAGACGGGTAGACAAACAAAAACAAACAAATTAACAAACAACATAAAGCAAACGCAAACGCACGAACAAACAAACAAACAAACAAACAAACAAACAAACAAACAAACAAATGCTACTGGACAAACAAACAAGCAGACAAACAAACAAGCAGACAAACAAACAAATTAACAAACAAACAAAGACATCAAACAAACAGACCAACAGCAGACAAACAAGCAAACAAACAAAGAAACAAATACATCAAACGAACGAACGAACGAACGAACAGCAGACAAACAAACAGACAAACAACCAAACACACAAACAAACAAACAAAGAGCAGATAAGCAAGCAAACAAACATAAAACAAACAGGCAGACAGACAGACAGACAAACAAACAGCAGATGAGCAAACGAACAAAAAGCAAACAACGACAAGCAGAGAAGTAAAACAAACACAAAGAAGAAGTAAACAAATAAACAAATGAATAAATAAATAAATAAATAATCAAAAAAGAGAGAACAGCAGCGCGACATCAATGTGCTGTGCATTGATTGACTGCAACATAAACAAAAACAAAAAAAAATTTTTAATGAAATAAATAATTCATATTCTGTGGTGGGGGGTACTAACAAATATATTTAATATATTTAAACAAACTAACAAAATAAATATCAAACAAATATATTAAATATATTTAAATAAGCAAACAAAATAAATATCTGCAAACGGTCTCGTGTTGAATTGCTCACCACACATGTATATTGATTTTTCTTTTAGAGTTTTTAAATGAAAACATATTTATATTTCTTGTTGTTTGTTTTAGAAAAAGAAAGGGGTTTATTTTTTATACAAGTAAGATGATATTTCTTCTTATGGGGTCTTTAATTAAAAGTAAGCTTACGTTTATATTTCTTATCTTAAGTATATTTATACGTCTTGCTGCATATTTATTTATTTGTATTTATGTCTCATGCTTAGTCTGTGTAATACTCCGTAACTGTTTTGTATGTCTTGAGACGAAGTCATATCTTTTGTTTATTATAATATGCATTTAAAGGTGTTTTCTTTCTTTTTGATTATTTCTTTATTTTCTCTTGAACTCTTTCAAAGGTAATTTAAACTCCTTTTCATACTTTTCCCCAAATTTTCTTTAATTGAATTTTAATATAAAAGCATTAGCCAGGGTTCGAACCCTCGCGACACATTCGAAGTTGCCTACAACTCTTCTGTACGTGCAGTATCAGGGTCACCTGCACGTACGTGATGGGCGTTAGCCCATTTCTAGTTGCGCACGTTCAATTGCATTTGACTGGCGGGTGTAGCGGCCCGCTGTGATCTAAGCAGAAGTCGGCTGTGTGGCGAGAGCGTTTCTGAGTCTGTGGGGCGAGCTGCGGAGACACCTCAGGGTGTACATGCAGATCCGCCCCAGCAACGCAGCAGTCTCCTCGGCTGTCTCCTGGAAAGGAGACACCCCAGGGGATGATGAGACGCGGAACGCCTCAGGCTGGGAACAGAGCAGGGAAAAGCGTACGCTGTTGCGAGTGCTGGGACTACGGAACCACCCGTCTCTCGCAGACACCTGCAGACTCCCTCTCCACACACAGCTTTATATAATATATATATATATTATATATATATTGTATTTTGTATATATTCATCTTTGAAGGTCTTTTTAATTATCTTTTATAGTCGAAAACATTTATTTTTTTTAACTGTGTTTTTATTATATTTTGAGCTACGGATTCGCCTGTCTCAAGCAGACATCAATCACCCCACATATAACTTTCTATAGAGATTTTAAATATTGTTTATTATGTTATTATTTGTTATAACTATAAACATTATTGCTTTTATTGCTGCGGTATTACTATTGTTGCTGCTTTCGTGTGCAAGAGAGAAGAAGTCTTTAGAGGTGGTTTAGGGTTTAGGGTTTAGGGTTATATTTCTATTGTTATTACTCGGGTTGTTATAGATATTTCTATCCCTATTATGTGCAGCTTCAACGCCCAGAAGTGCTTTATTTATAGCTGATGTATGTCTCGGGAATGTCTAGAAGATTTCTTTGTCTTCTGTTTGGTTGAACCTTCGTTCTTCTTCTTGAAGTTTTTCAACTTTGTCTGTTGCATGCAAAGAGGAGAGCCAAACATATTTAGTTTTCTCCTTTTGTTTCTTTCCCTGATCAACAGATTCACTTCTTTTATAATACGCCTTGGTGCAGCTGTTGTAGCAGGAGGCCTACCCCTAAACCCTAAACCCTAAACCCTAAACCCTAATAACCCTTAAACCCTAAACCCTAGACGGCACGCAACGAACCCAAAGGTATTAATATAGGGTTCGTATAACATATATATGTACCTATACATATATATATATATATGTATATACATATATATATATGTATATACATATATATATATATATATATATATATAT